GGAATTTTCTCTCAAACTGCTAAATTTATTTGATAAGGAATTTGGAAAAAATCAGGGACAATTTATTTCATTTTGGAAGAAGTAGAAATAAAGATCTCTAAACTTTTTATCATAGCTATTTCTTTATCAAATTCTGTGGCTGGGGTAATTATAAACTGAATTTAGCCCTTTATGACTGGCATTCTAATCTTCTCTCAAGAATCCCTGGGCATACTTTTTCTCTATATTTATTTAAAATACAATTCCTCAGGGTACCCAGAGCAGAAGTGCTAGCAAATACCTGAAAGCAGTGAGCCCTCCTGGGGTCCTGTCTCTTGCATATCTTAAAGATTATCTGGCTTCTGATCCAGCTCTTGAGTAGCATTTCCATTTCATTAGATGATATTATGAGGGGCCAGGAGGCATCCATGCGATAATTCCATAGCTTTGGAAACAGAAATCTCTTTTACATTGTTTTTCAGTCAGCAAAACTTGACAGACCTAAAAAAGCAGTAACTATTCAGTTTTTCTTCATACTTACTTTTACCATTATTATTTTCTTCAGGCACCTCCCATTTTATTTGTGAGCTACTAAATGGTGCTACCTGGAAATGCATACTTATATCCCTCTGAATGTTTGCCCATTGGGTTAGTGAAGTATTTGTATGTGCAGTTTCCTCAGCCTGCTCTAAATTATGTAGTGAAATATTGGAATACGCTAAACATTAATACTAGGATAAATCAACCTGAGATAATAAACCTTGTAGTTTTTCAGCATATTGGATGAAAAGACAAAAATGTGCAGATAACTGCGTCTCACAACAACATCTCGGAGGCAGAATTGTGATCCAAAGCATTAAATTTGGATCCCTCTGATTAAATTTGAGTAAAAGTTTCAGCAGAATGTACTTTTGGCAGGACATTCAATATCTAATAGGATCATTTAAAATTTAGGCTTCCAGAATAGTAACTGAGATTCTTTAAGGTCAACGCTTAGAGCTTTCCATGTTTATCGCCCCTGGTGCATCTACCTAGAGCCATCTACTCTTTGGGCAGACCCTCAATTGCTTTTTACAGTCAGCTGGATCAAACTCTGTGTGTCACGAAAAAGGTAGGTACAGTTTATGAACTGTATCATCTGTCCTATAAGTTGGAAATGTATCCTTCATTTCCACTTGCTGGAAAATGACTTTTCTGCTGTTAGGCACAATAACTGAAAGAACAGAGGTACATTGAAAGAACCACAGGCAAGGGCATAAAGAACAGAAATGGTGCTTTTCAGCGTGACATTGTTTCACAGTTACCTACTCTTTTCCCTAGTTTGCAGGAGTAGAATAATATTATACTCAGAAGAAAGATTCTGGGAAGTGAAGTATGCATTGAATTCTGGGACTATGTAACCTGACAAATTTTGCAGATACAAAGATAAGTCACTATTTCTGCTTTATTCAACAGAAAATAGTAGTGGATGTCTTTTTTTGTCAAAATTTCAGTACTGAGATCTGACTCCATTGCACATTCCTTTTTATGATGCACGTCTATGCTTCTAAACTGACCCCCAGCTCCGTGAATGAATTAAAGACCAAGAAGCAAAGAATATGACTTGATTAAGGTTTTGCCTTGAAGTTTTCCTCAAACAGCCCCAGCCAGCAGTACTCTCATGTTTTTGAGCTGGTGAGCGTTCCTGCTGCTCAGCATGCAGGTGCCATATCTTTGCTGAACTTGATGCCAGTGTGTGCATAGCTGCTCCTAACACATAAAAGAAGGAAAACTCAGAAAGATTATACTGAGGTCTACAAAGTTGTAGTGGGGATGGAAGCTGCTATTACCAAGGCAAGAGCCACCACAGTCTAAAACCTGCTCTGTGCCTTCTCTTGTAGCTGGTACCAAAGCCACCTCATTGTTTTTCCAATTACTTCAGCACTGGGAAGTGTAAGAGGAATGTACATAGGACAACCCAAAGCAATGCATGAATACAGCTGAGGTTGCCGTGAAGGCGCAAGCTGGGGCAGAGGTGCTGGCTTAGCTGCTTTATCACAGCTTTGCACCTGTGCAAAGCAGAGGAGGGCAGCTGCAGGCAGGTAGTGTTAGTCCAGAAAAAGATGCTCGTCTGCTTCTGTCTGGTTGGTACAAAATCACTTGCATATTTACATAACACTTTATAACCTGGAGGTATCTTCTGGATGGGCACAGGTTCCCATGTGGAACGTGAAATGATGCTCTGCAAGGAACCAGTGTCATTTTGTGAACTGCTTTTCTACCCCATCTAGCTTTCCCCTGTTTGACCAGGTTAGAACGTAGATATCATCAGTACCAAAAGGCACTAAGAGAAAATTCTTGTCAATGGTAAATTATGAGGTAAATTATGCTAGCGAGTTTTGTACTGGAAGGCAAGAAGGGACAGAACTGCCTTGGGACTTCTAGATTTGAGCTGGATTGTTATGCTGGACTGAGCTCAAGCCTTACAAAATTGAGGTCGTGTCCTCAGACTGACAAGGCAGAAGGTACTGTGTATTCCCCTTTCCAAAGGAAGCAAGTGTAATAATTTCAGCTCTGAGAAATGTTACTACTCAAAATTCTTCCATATTATTCTTAGGTAAAACAACAGATGCCTAACCAAAAAAGCAAGTATGGCAATGCTCCTATTTGTGAAGGTCTGAATAAGTCAGTTCATTATAAGCAAAATTTAGAACACGTATTCAAATTACCAGTCTGTTTAATGTGTCTATGCAAAGAACATGTTAAACAGAGAGATATGACATCCAAATACTCCTTTGCCAGTGGAAAAACAGCCCCAGGTTAATAAATGAAAACAGTTGTACATCTTTAACATTAGATGAGCAGGAAACATAAACAAGAATAAACAAAAATTAGCCTGCAACTTATAATGCTACCCTAAGGGAATAACAGTAAGATACACAGAGGTATCATGTAACATTTCAGTATCATCACTTTATGATATCTGTACCTTTTCAGCAGAAGCTGCTCATACTCTCTATAACACCTTCTGTTGGCATGTTATGAGTAAGTGTGATGGTCCATTAAATCACAGGTACTACTCACTGTAATGATATCTAAGAAAATTCTTATGTTTTTCACTGCTTAAAAAATATAAATTATGAAATGGTAAAATCATTTCTTCAAGAAGCGTTTGCAAATATGTTTTTTCAGCTGTGGAAGCTTCTGAAGAAATACCTCTTTGTGCAAAGACAAATTTAAGACTGTAAGGTCAGTATAAGTCTCTTGATTTTTCCTATTTATTAAACTCATTCTGGAATATTAATCCTACATACAACTATTACAGACTTTTCCTTCTCCTCACTAATTCCTTGTTTTAGATGTTATATTTTTTATATAATTTGTAAATATTGCTCTGTACAAAACTTTTTATACCCTGTTGTTAATTTGCATTCCAACTAATTGCTGTAGGAGTTTCATATTCTTTGCAAAAGGAGAGATATCTCCAGAAGTATTTTCTTTGTTTTTCTTTCTTCTTCCTCCCCGTGTAAATACTATTCTAAAAGTACGTTTGCCAAAAGACTATTTGCTATAAAAAACATCCCCATGCAGAATAGCAGTGACATGATACACCACAAACCCACTTGTGTAGTCTTTATTAATGACAACAGAAGCAGGATGAAGTGAAAGAAATAAATATGTGATTTAAATCAGCCATTTGTGTATTTATTTGAGATTCTTCAAGTGAAGATGAATAGCAGGTTTCTAAATGTGATATTATGTGGGTAAGCAAATGAGTCATTATTTGTATTACAGTGCAATAGAGTTGGGCAAGAGCGACACTACAAGAGGGAATAAGCAGTCATATCTAACTGTTTATTCTATTACATTCATCACCACGGGGTGTATCTGTACATGTCAGGTCAAGGGCAGTAATCCCTGTTCACATGAATCATTCTCAGTGCTAATGAAAACCATCCCTGATGCAGTGTGCTCAAACACCAACAGCTTCATTGGGTGACAAAATCAGACTAACTCACTTCTGCAAGCCAGAATTCACAGGTGAGGCAGAACGGCTGGGGGGATTCAGGGTTTAGGATGGAGAACAGATTAGCAGAGCCTGTTGGAGGAGATCAGCACTGAAAATCAGGTGGAAAACTTTTAACTGGAGAACAACAGTGCTGTTGCATCATAAGCTATGTCTCCTTCCCACCTTGGCTGTTCGAGTTTCAAAGCCAGAGTCTCTGTCTCTCTCTCTCTCAAAAAAAGGCAACTTGGTTCTGAGTCAGTTTCCAAAGAGTAAGTTATGAAGTTATGATAACAATGAATCCTGATTATCTTTCTTCACAAGCTTCTTGAAGTCAGGGAAACAGAGATGGAATATAGTGGCACAGGAAGGAGGTTTTATTTTCCTTTTTTATTTCCCCCCTCTTCTTAATTCAGTCAGGTCAAATTCTGCATACATTTTCCCCGTATTTCAGAGTGTCCAGATAAAAAGAAGAATATGCCTGGTCGAAGTGCTGATACATATAGATACATATGTGGATGAAAAATTAAAAATCAACTGTGGAATACCTTTCCAGGGCTGTGGCAGTGATGGCTGTGATTTGAGATACAGGTGGATTTATTACCAAGATTACAAACAAAAGCTATGCGCATTATTTGTCCTTAGGAAATATACTGCTTTGGCAGATCCCTGGGAATACAGCTGCACTTCAAACTATTTTTTCTTGCCTGAAAATTGCCAATATCCCCTCTCTGTGCCTATAACTTTTTAATCACAAACCCTAATTTTAGGAAGGCAACAAATTTCAGAGAATGTGATGGTTCTTACATGCAACGATGTTTTTACAGAAACTGTGGAGGCCCCATGCCAAAGCAAGGGGTGGAAGGCAATGGCGGGGGAGTCCCTGGGACTCTAGTGAGGAAGAAGGGGCTCGGCGGAGGTGAGGGCGGGAGGCTGCTATCTCACCACACATGGGCTTGTGGGAAGTGGGAATCTCAGGTTGAGTTACTCATCGTTTTGGAGTCAGGAGTGTGCAGAACCAATGATTTTGATGGCAGGAGGTAACGTACACATGTTTTTCAGGGAAGGTGCTGTGGGAGGACTTGCCGGCGGGCAGGAGGAGGCTCATACCGAGGACTGTCATCTCCCAAGTGTCCAAGCCTTCTGGTCCCGGGAGCCCACCAACACCGCCGCTGTTGCTGATGGTCTCCCTCTGCACGGTATGAACTGGGGGCTGCCGCCGCCGCCGCTCTACCCCTCCCCGGCAGGCGGCGGCGCTCGGACCGGACCGGACCGGACCGGACCGGACCAGGCAGGGGGCCAAGCGCAGCCCTACGATTCCCCGTCCACGGCCGCGGGGGGCGCGGGGCGGTGCTGCCCGGGGCTCCGCGCTGCCCGCCCTCGCTGATTGACACCGGGCCGGGCGGAGGCGGGCTCGCCGGGACCGCGTCGCTCCCGCCCGCCGCCGCCGCCGCCTGCGGGCAGCGGGTCCCGCGCTCCACCGCCGGGCTCGGCTTGGCGCGGGGCCGGGCCGGGTCGGGTCGGGTCGGGTCGGGTCCGCCGCGGTATGGCTGGCTCGCTGGGCAGGGGGGCGGCTTGCTGGCGGATGCGGAGCGCGGCGGGAGGCAGGAAAGAGAAGCCGCCGGGCGGCAAGCCCCAGCCCCGGCACGGTAAGGGGGCGGCCGCGGCGGGGCTTGGCGGGGCTCACAGCGAAGATGGGACGGGGAGCACCGAGGTCCGAGCGGGGCACCCCTGAGGCTAACTTGCTTGTGACTTGTCTTAGCCGCTGCGCTCTGTTGGGGCAGGGGGATCCTCGTTTCCTTTCCCATTCAGCCGGTTGGAAGGGAGGGGAGCTCCCTGCCTCCAAATTCCGCCGAGCTGCCCCTCATGGGTTTTATTTACCGCGTACCGGGGCTAGGGGAGAGGAAAAGGCTTCGCGTGCATTTTGGCATTTGCTTTGATAGCGGCTTTTTTGATTGTTGCAGAAAGCATTTGCAGCCTGGCAAACGCCAGTGAATCTGGGAAGAGTCCTCGAAATCTTTTTTGGCTTGCATCTGTCTGGTCTGAATGCTTGGGAAACACCGTTAAAAACACTGCTCTTGTCCCCACTTCACTTGTTCGGGGAGACAGATGCTGTCTTCCAAGGCTATGCTGTGCACAAACAGTTCTTTCAAAATCAGATCCTGACTTTGGAAACAGAAGGGAACGGTCTTGCGTGAACTTGAAAACAAGTGTTGAGGTTCGTGACCTCTTCGTTGTGTGCAGATCGGTGAATGCGGTTACCCAGAGCTAAACCTGTCATGTATGGTTTCTTTACTGTGCCACTTGGCTGTCACTGTAGTCTGCTTTGATGAGCAAACCCAACTGCTGGTGGATCCGGTCGCAGTGTCTGGAAATCTCACTAGAATTTGTTCTGAGTGTTCCCTATTGGGAACACTGTAGGGAACAAATAGGGGAAGTGTTTGGGTGAGTAAGTGGGTTTGCAGAAGTCTCTCACCTAGCTCCTCAAGGATAAAGTAACAGTTTAAGTTGTGTTTGAGTTCTGCTTGAATCTGTGCTTGTTTGTCGTTGGATATGTTAGTTTCCAGAGTAACTTTCTGCCTTTTCCAGAGAAAATAATTTGGCTGAAGGAGTAGTTTGCCCTCCTCAGAAGTACGAAGAGTGCTCTAGTGCATGCAGCAATCTTGACGACAAAGATGTTGGGATGATGGGGAGCCTGGCGTTTTAGGTGACAGTGTTCTGAAAAAGGTGCTTGCTATGAAAATAATAACCCTGAGTGCCTGTCTGAAATGAGAGAAAACTAGAAGTCACTTCTCCAACCGACTGTCACCTGGGTATTTCTGAGCTAGAGTGCTTTTGCAGCCACACCTCCTCTTCTATTTTGCTTGTTTGTGCATCTTTCACAAGTCAAAGAGGAAACAGACTAAAAGTCTGAGCGAAGGTTTTGTTGGTGGATGTCAGAAAACCTCTAAAGAAGTGAGTGCCGAAAAGGAAGTGTCAGCCAGTTAGAGAATAGAAGTGGCTCATTAATACTTGTAAATATTTATCCTATGAATTCTAAGTGTGATGCTGGTAGTGGGGAATAACAGATGAACAAAAGAGTTGCTGGGATCCCTCTAGGTTCTATCCCTGTTATTTGTGGATGTTATGCAGTAGCTAGGAACATAGACCAAAATCCTGGATGCAGGGAAGTGGGTGGGAATTTTGCCACTGACCTGAGAAGAGCCGTGATTGAACCCACAGACTGCGTGGTGTAAGGTGTCCGGCCAAGCTGAAAGCCTTTCCCTGATACAGCTATGCAATTGTGGCAAAGTTTGTACTACTGCGATATGCCGCTGTGGTCAGAATATCATCAAAGGAGCTCTACCATAAATTAGTTAATTTAGGGAGATAATTAGAACTGAGTTCTAATTTAGCTTAACAAAAAAGGTGTGGTGTGCTTCAGTCTCTCAGAGTTACTTCTTCCAAATGTTTTGTAAAGTGTCATATGTCACTAAATTCTCATTTAAGTAATTGCTGTAACAACATGGAACACTAAATTTAAATGCAGCAGCACATACAGTTTGCATCCCAATTAGTTTTCAACTGTACTTTAAGGATAATCATTCTTTCTGCTGTGCTGTCTTTACAAGGTACACTGTCATTATTTATCTGGTCATTTACTATCCTTTAGGAGCTCCAAATGTAAGGCAAAACCAAAATTAGACCTAATTTGTACATCCCTAATACTGATTGTGTTCTACAGGGAGATTTTTGGGGAGAAAGAAAAAAAAGTGTAGTATTACTTTAACATGCTTCTTAAATTTTCAAAGTTATGGAAACCCTCTGTTTTCCAAGAGTGGATTCAGGATTTACCCGAAATCAGATGAATTTCAGCTTTTTTAGACAGTATTGATGATTTCATGCAGAAATGGGAAATTTACATAAAATGTTAAAGCTGTAGCATTAGAGAGTTTATAGGTAAGATAAACTTAAAAGTACAAATGTGCTGTGTGAGCTGTCAGCAATGTTTAACTGGCAAGCAGACTTACAGGTTTGACTCATCCATGCATGCAATCATCAAAGTGAAGTGAGAACTGTTCACAAGAGAACTGGGAGTTATTGAAAGCGTGGAAGACTTTTGGGGAAGTAATGTTGTTCTTTCCTATTCTCTCTTTGCTGCAAAACCATTTCAATGCACCACCAGCCTGTGTTGGTAAAATGTGGCATAGCCCTGCGTGTCTGAATGGCACTGTTATGATTGACACCAGCTAAAGACCAGGCACAGTACTTCTGCGTATGTTTGGCTTCAGATACATTTATTTGGGCATCACTTCAGGATCTAAATTGGCAGTGTGCATACTGAGTTGGGAACACCTGAGCAAATCTGACATTTAACTGAGTGAAGTTACAAATATTTGCCAGCTTTGATGTTCTTCTCACCTTTTATATGAGCAATTATGGAGACTATTCTATACTTTTCAAATCTTTTACATACACAATATGAAATTTTCCCTGTGATCTCATGTTCTGAAGTTCTTGGTTTACACTTTTAAAAGTTTGTAAAGTACAAGCATTTCTATCCATTGTGGTCTAGGCAGAAAACAAAGTCTGTCAGGATGCAAGCAAAAAGTCAAGATCCTGTTAAGATGATGAATAATAATGGTCTTGTAAAAAGCCTATTTTTAAATGATTTAATGTTGGGTTGGCATTGACACCTTACTTGTAAAGTCTCCTAAGAGCTTCAAAACCTAGGTGGAAGGCTACAGCCAGAATTCTCTAAGTGGAACATGTTAATGAGTAGCATCATGGAAACAACAGTGTAAATCAAGTAGTATTTTACTGTGCTACTTAAGAAAACTTAAAAATACTTGTATGAAAAAATCTCCTCCCTTGAGGAGTAGATATAGAAAGTTTGTGACTAGAGTTTATGAAACACAAAGGTATTTTCAGTGGTGTCAAATAATTGAAAACAACGGAGAGAAAGCTTTTTAAAGCTATGTGAAAGTTAGCAATAAAACAATCACCAGTGGAAAACAGAGCAAGTAAATAGTGCTGGATGAACACGTGGGAGTGTGTGCACACAGAGGTGATATTTTAGACAGAAAATGATTTCTTCTTAATTTATTTTATTTTTTATTTTTTAAAACAAAATGTCACAAATTTAGGCTGGGGAGGAGCAGTCCTCTGTGCTTCAGCCAGCACAACAAAATCAGTTGGTATTGGGTCTGTACATTGGATCATGCCCAGGTAGCCTGGATAAATGAAAGTCAGTTGTAGCAGCACAGCTCTGTTTTTCACCTGGGCCTGCTGACCAATTTTAGTCTTCACCTGTCTAGAGCTGTCACAGAACAGGACAAAAAAATGTTGTCTTGATTTCTGTTTGGTGCTTATTCCACTTGAGTGTAATGGAAAGGCTGTGATGTGGTAAGGACAGAAGTTAGCATATTATCTCTCTAGAGAAGTGGACTCCTCTGACTGTGTTGAACTGGTGGAAGAGCTACATGCAGACCTGCACATTGTTTTCCTCTTGTACAAACTTAGATATATACATATATGGTAATGACTTCTGGTTGCTGCTGGACTAGACTAAATCCACACTTGATGGCAGGGAAATAAAGTTGTGCTTGAGTTTTTCCACTTTCGGATATTATCATCTTCTCACATTTCTTCTTGAAGCATTCCAGAATGTGCTTCAGTATTTTCTGTCAGCTTGTTCCTTTCTTTTCCCTTCTGTGTCTCCTGGGAAATAATGTTCTTGGTTATACTGAGGTAGTCATAACTAAATCTTCTGTTTTGTTTGAGGCATAGTTTTCAATGCTTCACTTTTTACACTTGGCTTGTTGTAGTATTTGTAAAAGTAAATGTCTGAAATTCATGTAGGCATTTTTTATATATCTATATATATAAATCTAAAAATAGAAGTTGTCTTCTTGAAGCAAATAAACCTCTTTTCTGTGGTCAGCTGGAATAATCTGCAGGTAGACTTTAAATCTTAAAGCATTTTTATAGCCTGTATGTTCAGAAAATGCAAACATTGATGCTATTTCTGCTTAGATCTACTAACACTTTGATGCCTCAGCCACTTTAGGCTCTCACTAGTCAGTGAGTGTGTGTTTGCCGTGTGTAATGCAGATCTTGCTGTGAAGGCATGGCTTTCAGAACAAATAATGGGTTAAGATAAAGGGATAAAAGAGTTAGTTTACCAAATGTATTTTAACTTGCTTAGCCTTTTCTTTAT